GCCCATGTGTATGTGCACATTCACATGCTTGTGAGCATACATAAAGGCTGGAGGAAGACAGGCTGTCTTGCTCTATCACTCTATCTGTTCCCTTGAGGAAGGGTCTCTCCCTGAACCTGGGGCTAGGCTGGTGGCCCGCAAGTCCAAAAAAGATCTTCTAGTCTCCGCCCCATCATGTCCCACTGAGATGTACTAGCTGCCACACTGGGCTTTTTACATGGGTGGTGGGATTTGAACCCAGGTCCTCATGCTTTTCTAATAACCACTCCTACCCGCTGAACTGTCTCCCAGCTCTGGTGATATCTTTTATAAAAGATAAATCAGCAGCAGGATATGTCAGCATTGGGGAAGTTGAGACAGGAAGATTGAGAGTTGGAAGCCAGCCTAACAACATAAGGAGATTTTATCTTTAAACAAACGAAGAAAGGAAGCCAGGCAGTGGTGGTGCACACCTTTAAACCCAGCACTTGGGAGGCAGAGGCAGACTGATCTCTGATTTCAAGGCAGACCAGGTCTAAGAGTGAGTTCAGGACCGCCAAGGCTACACAGAGAAACCCTGTCTCATAAAACAAAAAGAGAAAGAAAGGTTGGCATGGATGCATCCCATGCCCTTGGGAAGTGGAGGCAGGAACATCAGGAGTTCTAAATCATTCTTAGCTATGTATTGAGCTAGAAGTCAGCCAGGGCTGTATGAGACCTTGTCTCAAATAAACAAATAAAATCAGCCAGGCAGTGGTGGCGCACACCTTTAATCCCAGCACTCAGGAGGCAGAGGCAGGTGAATCTGTGAATTCAAGGCCAGCCTGGTCTACAGAGTGAGTTCCAGAACAGTCAGAGCTACACAGAGAAACCCTGTCTCAAGAATAAATAAATAAACAAATAAATAAGCAAATAAACAAATAATAAATAAATAAGAAACAGTATAGCTGGGTGGTGGTGGCGCATGCCTTTAATCCCAGCACTCAGGAGGCAGAGCCAGGTGGATCTCTGTGAGTTCTAGGCCAGCCTGGTCTACAGAGTGAGTTCCAGGAAAGGCGCAAAGCTACACAGAGAAACCCTGTCTCAAAAAAAAAAAAAAAAAAAAAAAAGAGAAAAGAAACTGTATCAACCAGTAAATGTAAATAAGTATTTCAGGGTTTCCCTGTGTTCTGTAAACAGTCGAAAGAACTAACACTGAACCCAAGAAGGTTTGGGGAGCCCTGCTTTATAGACGATCCTCAGAACACAGGTTGAACACCCAGGGAGTGTGAGTGGCATGGGATGGGATGATCTCAGGGTCCGAAGCCCCAACCTACAGGATCTGGCCTAATTCTGTCAGCCTTATCTCTGGTTGTCTCTTGCAACACAGGACATGAGCACACTTCCTGTACCTTCCCCTCATAGCCCAGGCCTTTGCCCAATAGCCTAATACTGTTTCCCAGCATGGGCTTATCTTCTCCTTCCTCTGCACCTGTGGATACCTGACTCCCACTCTGAGGCCAGCTCGGATTCCATTTCCTCCAGAAAGTTCTTCCAGAGCCTGCCCCTCTCCTCAGAAACACACACCAATAAGTTCTAGCTAAAATTCCCTCTTGGGCTCTTGAAAAACACACTTAGCTTTCTCTTCTTTCTTTTTTTTTTTTTCTTTCTTTCTTCTTTTTTTTTTTTTCTGTTTTTCAAGATTGATTTATTTTGCTCGGTGTGGTGGCGCACGCCTTTAATTCCAGCACTGCAGAGGCAGAGGCAGAGGCAGAGGCAGAGGCAGAGGCAGAGGCCAGAGGCCAGAGGGCAGAGGGCAGAGGTCAGAGGGCAGAGGCAGAGGCAGAGGCAGAGGCAGAGGCTGATCTCTGTGAGTTCAAGATTCTAGATGAGCCAGAGCCTTGCTACCCTGGGCCCCTCTGGCCTCTCCACCCTCTAGAGCATCTAGCACCGTGCTAGGTGGGTGGATTCTGGCCATGCTGCTGTCCTGCTCTGATCACACCTGGCTCTTTTGAGCTAAGTCTCCTTCATATTCTCTGTCCCAGCTCTGGTGTCATAGCCCCTTCCCTCTGGGGTCTGACTCTCTCAGCAATAACTGTTGATATATGACTGGGGACAAATATAGTGACATATAAAATATTAAGAACTGCATGTTTGGGGGTTTGGATTTTTTTTCATATTTGTTGAGTAGGAAATCATGTTGGTGTGTGTGTGTGTGTGTGTGTGTGTGTGTGTGTGTGTGTGTGTGTGTATGTGTGTGTGTGTTACAAAACTCAAACAGTGAAAAGAGAAAGCACACATCTGTAGCCTTAACATCTGAGGTGTAGAGGCAGAAGGGTCGGAGTTCAAGGTCACTCTTAGCTCCATAGTGAGTTACAGTCCAGCCATGACTACACAGTGAGACCCTGTCTCAAAAACTAATTATGAGCCGGGCACTGGTGGCTCACACCTTTAATCCCAGCACTCAGGAGGCAGAGGCAGGTGGATCTCTGTGAGCTCAAGGCCTCAAGGCCTGGTCTACAGAGTGAATTCCAGGACAGCTACACAGAGAAACCCATCTCAAAAAGCCAACCGAACAAAGAAAAAAGTAATTGATTAATTTTAAATATTAAAAAAATGTTTTAAAGGAATATAGTAAGAAGTCAGTTTCCCTGCCCTGGCAGTCTGCAGCCCCCCAGGTCCTGCCCCAGTGGTAGCCAACTCCGAGCCTTGCAGGGGTTCTATAATGGGGCTGTTGTATTCTGCTACCCACACATGGACAGGATGCACACCAACACCTCGCACTGGAGTTGTTGCTCTGTCAGTGTGGGTGAGGTGCCTCTGAATGGATGTTCAACGGCCTCCAGCCCAGGAAAAACCCTCCTTGGTTCTCCCTGGAGTGGGCGGAGCGTGACTGTGCATCCAGTCTCTAAATCTCCATGGCGGGAGAAGGGAGGTGAGTTCTCGGGGTGCTGTTCCATTTCGTTTTACTTTGTTGCTGTTTTCTTTTGCTTTGTTTTGCTTGAGACAAGATCTCACTGCACAGCCCTGGCTGGCCTGGAACTCAGTCTGTAGACCAGGCTACCACTGAACTCACAGAGATCCTCCTGCCTCTGCCTCCTGAGTGCTGGAATTAAAGGTGTGGGCTACCATCGACCACCTGGCATAGTATACAGACTTTTTTTTTTAATTTTATTTGAGGAGAAATAGTCTTCCTCAAGGATGAGCACACCAATTGGTTATCCAATACCAAATCATCAGCCCTGGAAACATACATACAACTAATATTCTACAGATGAGCAGGTTACATCATTTAGGAATATATATATATAAACATACTATATATATATATATATATATATATGATAACAATTAATAAATAAAGAGGCCATGAATTTGAAAGACAGCAAGGAGGAGTATATGGCAAGGTTTGGAGGGAGGAAAGGAAAGGGAGAAATGTGGTAATTATATTATACTCTCCAAAATTAAAAGAGTTTGCCAGGCAGTGGTGACTAACACCTTTAATCCCAGCACTCAGGAGGCAGAGGCAGGAGGATCTCTGTGAGTTTGAGGCCAGCCTAGTCTACAGAGTGAGTTCCAGGACAGGCACCAAAGCTACACAGAGAAACCCTGTCTCGAGAAAAAAAAAAATTAAAAAGTTTAAGTTTTTAAGTTTTTATTTTATGTACATGGATGTTTTGTGTTTTGCCTGCATGTGTGTGTGTAACACTTATTGCCTGGTGCCCAAGAGGTCAGAAGAGGGTGCTGGATCCCCGGGAACTGGAGTTATAGACAGCTGTGATCTATTATGTAGGTGCTAGGACTCAAACATGGGTCCTCTGGAAGAGCAGCCAGGGCTTGTAAGAGCTGAGCCATCTCTCCAGCCCCTAAAATATGGACTTTTGTTTTCCTGATCTTTGTTTTTCAAGGCAGCGTTTCTCTGTGTGGCCCCGGCTGTCCTACAACTCACTCTGTAGACCAGGCTGGTCTTCAAACTCAGAGATCTGCCTGCCTCTGCCTCCCGAGTGCTAGGATTAAAGGTGTGCACCACCACACCCTTCTTTTTCTCCTCCTTCTTCTTCTTCTTCTTCTTCTTCTTCTTCTTCTTCTTCTTCTTCTTCTCCTCCTCCTCCTCCTCCTCCTCCTCCTCCTCCTCCTCCTCCTCCTTCTTCTTCTTCGTTTAACACATGGATTTTTAGGGAACATTTTTTGGGGGGTGCGGTGCTAAGACTTGAACTCAAAGCCTTGCACTTAGGTACCACCAAGGTATATCCCCAACCTTTCTTTGGAGGACACTTAAATCATAGCAGTACCTAAATGAAAGCTGGAAAAAGCCCAGCATCATGAGAGCTAGGGGAAAAAAAAAAAAAAAAAAAAGAAGGAAAGAAAAATGCCTCCAGGATCCTGCCCACCCCAGAAACAGCAGAGGGCTCATCTACCCTGCAAAGAGAGAAACTAAAATAACAATCGCTTCGTGTGGGAAGAAGGCAAGCAGAACACCCAAGGGCTTTCATGTCAGCAAGAGAGACTGAAATTAGCTCTGAGTGTGAACTTCCCGGCAGTGCAGGAGTGAGGATGCAGCCCGGGCGTCAGGGGGAAGGACCCTGGAGGACTCTTTACATGGAGCTCATTAAGCTGAGGATTAAGGGTAGCGGCCCAGCCAGGCCTGCTGGGAGGCGGGGCCCAGGGACAGGTGATCACTAAAGCTACCCTGACAGAGTACAGCCTGGTCGTCCCCAGGGCAAAAGGTCAAGCGCTGGGTTAGGGAATCAAGTCCCAGAAATTTATGGCCCCCAAAGCCACCCACCACCACTGCTTGCAGGAGGGGAAGCCAGACTTATGAGCAACTCATTTGCTGATTAATAAAAAACAAAAACAAAAACTGGAAGTCTAGAGAAGTTGCAGGCCTAAGGTCTAGGAGAGCCAGGGCTTGAGCCCAGGCCTCTGTGCTCACAGCCAATGAGATGACTGCCAGAGCCCTCCTCCTGAACTGGAAGCCCGGACTCTGTATTTCTACCCACTCCCTCAAGTCCATTACACCTCTGCTTCATGGTACCACTCACCTCCCAAGAGCCCCGCCGCCACCACGAAGCCCCAGAAGAGAGGAGTCTGCAGGGAAGGCCATGAGTCCATCTCCGGTCTAACACCTGAGCTGGGGAGGGACGGGTGCGAATCCCAAACTCCCACCTCTCTCGTCCTCGCCCGTCTCTATCTCAGACTCCTGTGATAGGAAAGTAGGCCAGTTTGGAATATGTCACAGATATTTTCGACATCCCCATCTGTACCAAAGCTTCTCGTGCAGCCAAGCAGGGTGGAGCCAGAGGCTTCCTGCCGGATGAGGGTACACCTGCTGCTTCTGGGGCTCAGAGCCCAGACTGGGGCTGGGGAGAGTCACCAGCGCCTCCCCCCACCCCAGGATTCTGTGCAAGCACCCTTAGCCAGGATGGGAAGGACATGAGTTCCAGGGGAACAGAAGTGGAACAGCTGGGTCCTGGGGCGTCACCTTGACAGCAGGGCACTGAGGGAAGAGTAAACAGTCCTGGGGAAGGGACGGGGTGACTGGTATGTGACTGGGTTGTGGAAGACTGGCAAGAGTCTCCTGAGCGAAGAAGAGGATGATGAGGATGAGCATGTCCCCAGCCAGCGAGCACACGGGAAAAGCCAGGGCCCCTGGGGTGGGAACCTGGCTCGGGAGTGGCAGCAGGAGAGGCAGGTGAGGACAGAGATCCTTGGAGGAGCTGCATGCATAATGACCAGCTAAGGAGCTTTGGGTGTGCCCCACAGGTGCGCTCATAAAGGCTCTAAAAAAAAAATCACATACATTTATTTATTTATTTATTTATTTGTTTGTTTGTTTGGAGTGGGGTAAGAGGAGCATGTTTGTGGAGGTCAGAGGACAACTTATGGCTAGAATCCTTCCGTCAGATGGGTCCATGTGGGTTCAGGTGGATACTGGAGACGGAGCTCTTGTTGTCAGCAGCCCGGGAAACAAGCACCTTCACCCTACTATCTATTTTGGCTGTCCAGCATTTTTTGTTTGTTTGCTTGTTTTGAGACAGGGTTTTCTCTGTATAGCTCTGGCTGCCCTGGAACTCTCTCTACAGACCAGGCTGGCCTTGAACTCAGGAGTCAAAGGCGTGTGCCACCACTGCCCAGCATGGAGAACAGGCTATTTGCTCTTGAGCTTCTAATCCTCCTGCCTCTACTTCTTGAGTGCTGAGGTTACAGGCTTGTGCCACCATGCCAGGCTTATGAAGGACGGGGATTTGAACTCAAGGCTTCAGGTGTGCTAGGGAAGCACTACAAACTGAACTACACAGCCAGCCCCGCTGTGAGGCTTTACATTTTTAAAATCTATTTATTTAATTTTCCATGTACGTGCATGTCTGAGTGACGGTGTATGCAGCATGTGCATGTCTGAGTGAGCATGTGCATGCAGGAGCCCTCGGAGGCATCAGATCCCCTAAACTGGAGTTGCTAGCAGTTGTGAGCCAAGAGCCAAACCCAGGTCCTGTGGAAAAACAATAAGCACTCTTAACCACTGAGCCATCTCCCCAGCTCCCCCCAACCCCAGGCTTTTAAGTAACATGATTCAGAAAGAGCATGTGGCTGTGGGCAGGGAGGCAACAGGCTGGGAGAGGCAGGACTGTGGGAGGGAACTTCGTTCCAGTCACCAGGCACCCAGACCTTATCCTCCTCCAAGTGGCTGGCACTGGCACCTCTCCCAGCTGGGAACGGGAGGCCTGTGTGAACAAAAAGGTCCCTGAAGAGATAAAGTTACTGTCTTCAGGGGCTAAGGTCAGAATGGGGACTGCATTTCGAGAGATGTTCCTGGAAAAGCTGGCAGAGGGGAGCCCTGGATGCTAGGGCTTCCTAAGGCTCTGCTATGGGCACTGTGATACATGGCTTCATTTGGTCCTTATCAGAGGCCTATGCCATGGGTACACTTCTTCCTGATGTGGAAACAAGGGTAAGAAGTTCAAGACCGGGCCTGGAGCGATGGCTCAGAGGTTAAGAGCACTGGCTGTTCTTCCAGAGGTCCTGAGTTCAATTCCCAGCAACCACATGGTGCCTCACAACCATCCATAATGATATCTGGCGCCCTCTTCTGACCTGCAGGTGTATATGCAGACAGAATACTGTATACATAATAAATAAATAAATCTTAAAAAAAAAAAGTTCAAGACCAAGGCCAGCAAGATGCCCGGTATAAAAGTGTTCACCATGCAAACCCAATGGCCTAAATTCAATCCCTGGGTCTCATGGTGGAAGGAGAGAACCAGTTGCCATCATAACATGAATGTGCCATCATAACATACCACACGCGCGCACACACAAACACACACACACACACACACACACACACACACAAACACTACTACTACTTTTTTTATTTACTTATTTATTTATTTAATATGCATTGGTGTTTTGTCTGCATGTATGTCTGTGTGAGGGTGTTGGATCCCTTGGAACTGGAGTTACAGACAGTTGTGAACTGCTCTGTGGTTGCTGGGAATTGAACTCAAGACCTCTGGAAGAGCAGCCAGTGCTCTTAATCACTGAGCCATCTCTTCAGCCCTACTACTACTACTACTACTACTACTAATAATAATAATAATAATAATAATAATAATAATAATAAAATTAAAAATAAAATAGGGGGCGGCAGTGGCACACGCCTTTAACCCCAGCACTCAGGAGGCAGAGGCAGGTGGATCTTTGTAAGTTCGAGGCCAGTCTGGTCTACAGAGGGAGTTCTAGGACAGCCAGGACTACACAGAGGGGCACTGTCGCAGAAGGAAAAAAAAAAAAACCTCAAGTCCTGTCCCCAGCTTAAGAATTTAGGTCCATGTGTCCCTTCGACCCTCACCACACCCCAAATAACTACATAAGTGTCCCAGCTTTCATCACTACAAGCTCAGACCTCCAGGGCTGCACAGCAGCCCCATGATAGCCATTTGGATGAAGAAGCCAAGACTCCACTCATGGACACAATGCTTATTGTAAAGGGAGGATTCCAACTCAGGTCCCTTTTGCCCTAAAACAGTCTGCGCCTCTGTCTCCCTAAGTACTTGGTCTCTTTGATCTCCAGTCTTTTCATCCATAAAGTGGGTCTGGAGAGATGGAGTGAGAACGCACAGAGAGAAGCTGCTTGCCATATTCCTTCCATCGGCTCAGCATTCAACTAGAATTCCCTGAGCACCTACTAGGACAGGACCATCTTGCTGGTGTTAGGATGCCAGTGGAAACACATGCTGAGCCTCTGCTCTCCTGAAGCAGGTGCTGAGCTGAGAACTGAGAGGCTGGACCAAGGATAGAGACAGTAAGCAGTAACTGTTGTCACTATGGGTTACACATGAGCTGCCTCCACACAGGCCACTCACTCTGCCTCTGTCTCCAGATCAAGAAAACAAGGGCACCGTGGGAACCCTGCTGCCGAGCAGCCTCATTTCAACCCAGGGAGACCAGCCCTTCTTCACTTTGCTACCTGTACTGGCTAGTTTGGTGTGCCGACTTGGCACAACCTAGAGTCATCACATAGGAAGGAGCCTCAATTGAGAAAGTGTTTCCATAAGATCCAGCGTGGTGACGCACGCCTTTAATCCCAGCACTTGGGAGGCAGACCAGGCGGATCTCTGTGGGTTCGAGGCCAGCCTGGTCTACAGAATGAGTTCCAGGACAGGCTCCAAAGCTACACAGATAAACCCTGTCTTGAAAAACCAAAACAAAACAAAAAAACAAACAAACAAACAAAAAATCTAGCTGCAAGGCATTTTCTCAATTAGTCATCAAGCGGGAAGGGCCCAGCCATCCCTGGGCTGGTGGTCCTGAGTTGAGCAAGCCAGTAAGCAGCACCCTCCATGGCCTCTGCATCAGCTCCTGCCCTCCAGGATCCTGCCCTGCTTGGGTTCCTGCAATGTGGAAGTGTAAGCCAAATAAGCCCTTTCCTCCCCAACTCACTTTTTGGTTGTGGTGTTTTGTCACAGCCACAGAAACCCTAACTAAAGCACTGCTCCATTGGGCCACATCTGTTTAGGCATCGCCAGTGGCCCCGGCTGGTAATAATGGTATATACAACCCCATCCCTCAGGTCTTTCTAGGACTCACAGCCTCCTTGGCTCCTTTCATGGTTAGTGGACAGCTCCCCAAATTCATACAGAGCTCAACTCTGTGCATCTTTGTGAAAGTCGTAAGCACCTGATGTTCAGAGGACAGTTTTGTCCTGGAGCAATGGGGTCACGGCTCTACTTCAATGCTGAAGTCTGTAGAGGACAAGGAAGGACTCCCCAAAACCGAGGAGAACACCCTCCACTGACTCTCAGCTCCCCCTGGTTATTGCTGCCTCCTCCTCCCCTTGAGGGGTAGCTGCCTGGCATGTCTCACCTCCAACCTCAGGGTCAAGAGTGATGTCAGGCCTTCCCTCAAGATGCTACGTCTGGAATTCTGTCCATCATTGTCCTTCCCTCCTCCCCACTTGTTAGTTCTGCCCACTGGCCTTTCATTGGGTCCTGAGGGCATCCTGGGAAACTCCCAAGTTCCAGCCTCTTGGTTGTGCAACCCGGTGTCCGATCGCTCTCTCCAGCCTTGTTCTAATGGAGATGTAACCACTGCAGTAATATCTTTAGCTGTGTCCTCCACGCCTCTCACTCAGACAATCCTTGCACAATCTTCTTCAGCGTCCTAGCAACAGACGCAGGGATGCTCTCCCCAGCTCCCCTCCGTCTTTGCTCTCTTCCCCCATTGGCTCAAAGTCCCTGGTTGACCAAATCATTGCCATTCCCTGCCCTTTGTCTGTGATGGCTGTGTTCCTCTGACAAACCCTAGCACTGGACTTCTGACTCAAGATGCCTGCCGTGGGTCGGAGAGATGACTCAGCAGTTAAGAGCATATACTGCTCTCCCAGAGGACCCAGGTTCAGTTCCTAGCACTCACATAAGGCTGTTTGTAGACTGTAGACTGAAGTTTCTCAGTCCTGTCCGGTCCTGCCTGGGCAGCAGCAGTTTTTATAAAATAATCACTCAGAGACTTATATTAATTACAAACTGTTTGGTGTATGCCTCAGTCTTATTGTTAGCTAGCTCTAACATCTTAAATTAACCCATTTCTATTAATCTATGCATTGCCACGTGTCTAGTGGCTTTATCTGTGTTCTATTACATCTTGCTCTTCGGCAGCTTGCAATGTCTCCCCGACTCTGCCTTTCTTCTCCCTGTATCTCTCTTGGATTTCCCACCTGGCTATATCCTGTGTTGCCATAGGCCAAAACAGCTTCTTTATTAACCAATA